CAAATATAAACAAATACCTTCACATCGCAGCTCACAGCTGGTCAGTCAGGTATTCAGGGCAACTAGTGGACAAATATGGAGTTTACGGTACGGAGAGATTATTTCACCGGGTGTTTGACGTACATGGGATATGTTACTTAACATTTCTAATTTCCAGTACGTAATCAGTTTTAAACGTTGAATATAATGTTAACAGAAAGTAATATTTCCTACTGCGATATTTATCACAACATTTTAAAGAAACGAAAGTAAGATTCTATAACATTGCGTATGTCTATTGCGTATAATTAAAACAATTCGTGACCAGTGAAAGTGGCTTACAATCGCTTTAATCAAGATCATATGAAGATAGATTATCCGAACATTTTATAACCAATCGTCGCTCGCAATAACAGCCTATTTGATCGGACTGATAATTCGAAACTCGTGACAAATTCTCATGTGGAATATAACGAGATCGATTAAAAAACGACGTAAATCTAATCGGTTGAGAGCATTATTAGTTTATTAAATTTGGAACACAATATTTCATTTAAATCAGATAAAAATGATGTACTGCCATTTCCGAGTGGTTATAATAATTTTGCGGACTCTAAGGCGACGCAATCCTAGTGTCAGTAAAATGTTCTAGGCTTTAAGCTATTATAATCATGAAATGCTTTATGTTACGTAATACGTGCAGACGTAAAACACAAACATAAGAGGGGGTAATAAAAACAGAAAATTGTACTTGCTTGAAGCTCGAGTTAATGGAATTTGAAAATGAAATGTGCATTTTGCATGCGCATTAGTCTTACATAAAATACGTATTGAAATAGATTTTCACTTTACTTGAATTATTATGGTCTAATTTACAACATAAGTACCAGAAATACCTCATGTTATAGGGAGTATAAAACAACAAAACATCGCGAAAAAAGATACCTAACACTTTTAATATGCAATTCAGAGTTTATGATTATCTATTGGAATAATCTAGCAATCTAAGTTCTAGATAATCTTGGGCATGTTTACCAAGGTCTTCCTAGAAGTCTAACAATTCCATACATTAATAAAAAATTGCATAAACAAAAAAAAACGATGGATAAATTTTTATCTCATACAAAACAATATGTTTTTCAAACAACTGTTACAAAGAAATTGAGGTAGTAGCAACAAAAGTCACATTTACAAATAGGGTCAGAGGTCAGTTCGCGTGATTTCCAAAGTAAAATTACATTTTCATACGGATTTATTGTACAACGTCCGTCCTTATAAGGGTCACGATGTCGATGTTAATAAACCTTAAGTTTGTACACTTGATCAATCGGGTTAACCGTTACAGTTACTCTATTTAAACTCGTCTTATCTACCTAATTATCTTTATTAACAAGCTGCACAGAGCGCCGGGAATAATTTGTAGTAATTACAATCGTATAGTCATCTATTTCCTTGTGGATTGAGGTATTTATTATTGCAAATGCAATACCTAATTACGAACGGTTTTTATTATAGCGATCTGTTAAGGCAAGGACTTGAATAACTCGAGTATTTAAGTCCTTTAAGTATAGACTTTACATGACCTAGAACATATTTAACCATATAAAATTTTATGTTTTACAATTCATATGTTTTACAACAGAACCGCTTCAAGCGATGGTAGATTAATTAAACCATTTGACAATAAATGTGGCTTTACGTTATATGAAATTTGTTTTGTGTTCTTTTTTTGTTTTATTGTTTTAATATGAACAAAATATCTGTAGTTGTCATATCAATTTTATTTTAACTCTTGACTATATTTTTATATGCAACATATTTTTTATTGCACTAAAGGCTATTGCTACGCTTACGTAGTGTTAAACACGCAAGTTGAGCAACGTATATTGAAAAATCGATACTATTGACCGCGTTTAGTGTTAGGAGTATAGAGCTTGATGAATGGTAAAGCACTAAAAATTAATACAACAAAAACTCTAAATTACCTACTTTGATTGTGAATATCTTCGTGATATATCTTTTGATCTACACATTCATTCTAGAATAAATTATTGACTGGTTAAAAAGTTTATCGAGTAACAGTTCTGAACCATTTTCTGAAGTCATAAACACAAAAAATTTTATTAACTAACTATTGCTCGCGCCTTCGTCCGGCTAAAATAAAAAAAAACTAAAAAACGTAGCCTATGTTACTTACATATAAATTACATTTCTAACAGTGAAAGAATTTATAAAGTCGACCCAGTAGATTCAGGTATCGAATAGGAATAAAAATATGAAAATACAAATCTATCCCCTTTTTAGTATAGATTACTAGACGAAGCTTGATTCACATGACCGAGTATGGTAACCACATTGATCGGCCGACATTTACCTGACGGTTAATATGAGATCGTTTGTATATTAGAATTTATAATAAGGTTGAGGTGAACGGCTATCACGGCGACTGTTCACGTCCGTTCCTCACACTTAGCGTTATGGTAATGGGGTGCCGTGACCAAAAGGGAACAGTGTTGTATTATCTTGGGGTCAGCTAACGTCGTGCGCCTGCCATTTTTGCCGCCTATACCCCGCTGTGAAACCCCTTATGCCGTATTCGTGTAATTGTTGCAGTTAATACGATGACCAAGTTTATTTAATTTTAAAAATCTTCAATCTGTAATTCTAAATCAGTCTAATTTTCCAAATATATACAGGACAATTTCCTGTTAAAATAAAATTAAAATAAAATAACTTTTAAACGTAAAGTTTTGTATATTATCGACGTAGTACCTTCATTGATAAAAACTTTACTATTTTCTATGATCTCAAAAAGTAATATTTTCATTTTAACGATGCGCAATGTTCCTATTAAATTTAAACACTGCAAACATCACAAAATATGTGTTCGCAAAGTGTCGGTGTAAAATCCCTTAATTACTTCTGCGAAGCTCACCAACTGGCCATAATTGCGGGTCTGTCTGTCTGGAAGAGCTTTAATGGCACATACACAAAGATAATTACCATATTCTTAGATTTAAGTGAATTTACAACATTAATTATTTAATTGAATTGCTTGTGGAAAATTATTTTCATCGTTTAATTATAATGTAAAGACAAATGTTGTTGTCTCATGTTTGCAATGAGATTATTAAGTCATGTTTCATAGTTGGACTTAAAACATATTTTATTACTGAACTCATTTACATTTTTTTTCCAGATTACGTAGAAATATAGATGTGTCCATCAAAACTTTCCAATTACGAATTTCTATTTTATATTCTATAACGAAAAATATCAGAATGTTTTCTTACCTGTAAATATATAAGGTATACAATTCGTATGTGAATTTACTACACAATTTACTTCCAATAACACGTCTATGTGCTGTCGATGTCTAGACATAGCTTGCTGTAGTCACGCAACAAGATTTAAAGTCCCAAGGGGTCCGCGCTATTCAAATATTTCACCTTGGTCCGCCGGGCGGAAACTCACGGCCGCTGTGCTTGTAATAAATCAGACTCGTTCCACAGTCTATATTCGTCATCAACGCAACAAGAAACCTATCTCGCATAAACTAAAGATTTTCAACTGACAGCCAATAAATGGATAGATGGTGATCCTGATTAATTGGTTGTGAAAGGCGTAGACACGTCCAGTTAGATACATATCAAATATATCTAACGAATGAAGGTAGTTGAATTTATTTACGATTTTATATCGAGTTCTGACGTAACGCAAGTCTTGCTTTTTCTACTTAGTAACGTCTTCAATCTACGAGTATACAATGTATCTAAACTTGTTATGGTACCAGTCGAAGCAACGGGATGTTCTTGGATTGCAACATTATCGCATTATAATTGACTATTGTGGATTAGATAGAGAATTATGTTCCCTGTCTACTATAACTGCTAAAATACTCTTATTTAAGTTTAAAATAGTAGGAATGCTTGAGGAGAAATTACATTACACAGGCACGCAATTGATTAGTTTCCTAGTTGGACAGTTTATCTTGTACCCTCAGTTGAGCTCGCGTCGTGTTTGCGAGGCACTGAACTTGTTCGTTGTCGATGTTACTCACACAACTGCGAACTGATAACGACGCCAACGTAAAACAAATGAGTAAACAGATTTATGCATATAGATAATCTAGCCAAAAGCCTTGCAACCTTCAAGGTTTAGACTTATCATTATTAAAAAATTATCTTAATTTTATCAAGTTTGTTAGAAATTGTTAAAACCTTCATATAATTTCCAATTGTGCGTAACTTGATAGGAATTTCTACCCGAAGTTTATATTCTTACTAGCTTATGTCAAACTTCATCAACATCCATCCATCAAAAGTTTAGCATTTATAACATTAGCAAGACTAGTAAGATTAAAAAGAACATTTTCGTGTTTTATTGCTTTTCGAACTGATTGAAAAGCAGATGTTTGTCAATATCTGTTTGCATAACTTTGATGAGACAATGTCCATTTCGAAATGGATCATGACCATACAGCCGTAAAATCAATAAAGATAACCCGAATAACCGGTGTACCGGCACGAAAATGAAATTTTAAACGAGTTACCTGCAAAGTTATAGAGAGTTGACTTCCTGATCAGAGCACAGAAGCGGTATAATTTCATAACACCATTTTCCCTTTCGCAACTTCGAGTTAGACGTACTGAGTTATCCTGCGATACAAACAATTTAAAATTGAATATCCCTCGTCTGATATGAGCGAAGTTTTGATTTCATATCTAAATTATTGACGGAGTTTGTTTTAAAGTAGGTCGAAGTAAGAATCTTGTAGACTTAAGTCTATTTAAACTTTTCTCTCTTTGATTCGGGGCAATTTAAACTAAAAACGTCTTAAACTTGTTTTAACTAAACCTAAGATTGTGTGGTTTTCTCTTACATGTATGTAGTTCTATACATTGAAGTCTCGAACATTTTATTGGAATTATCTTCTGTACTACTATCTGTATAGATGTGCTTCTGTATAGCATGTCAAGAATATTGTCTTTTTAATTAACTTTTTCTTTTTTTGTTATCAGGATGACGTTGAAGCGTGACTGGTTGGTGTGGCTGGTGTGTCT